CAGAGGAAGAGAAAAATCCTTTGTTGCTCCACTGGAGGAACATAGAAAGGGGCCGGAATAACTCGGCTGCCTGGCCAAGTGTTGACAGATAGGTCTTTGTGTTGTGAACCCACAGCCACCCAGTTAGAAAGGACATGCGAGTCACTCCAGTTATCTCAGGACAGGGAAGGACTTCTGGTCATAAATCTCATGGCTGTTGCAACAGCTGACAGGGGAGTTTGACTGGCTGTCACTTCTCTTGTACAGTATTGTTTTTAGCTCTTGTTTAATCATTGTTAATGTGAAATCACTTTTTGTTGGACTTTGTAGCAGTTTATTATAGAGTTGGCAGATAGTCATCAGCGCTCTTTATCCAAACAGTAATGGGGGAAAGCAGTTGTGGGGCCGCCTTGCCCAGAGCAGGTTCCTGCTAAGATTTGTGAAGTTGGTCTCGACTTGTCTTGGTTTTGATTTGCCATCATTGCCACAGGAGGAAGGGTAGAGAAACGGAGGGCCGCCTCCAGGAACTTTTTTTCTTTTTTTATCCAGAGTAATCGCTACACTTTGTAATGATTCTGAAGAATCTTTGCATTGTTTTTTAAATACTTTGTTCCAAGAGTTGTGCCAATAGGAAATACAGAGAAAAAGGGTTTATTAAGTGATTTCAAGGTCTACTTAAAGGCACCCTTCTTGGGGGCTTCCCTGAATGCTCTGGCATCTCCCCAAGAAATGAAGCAGGTAAACTGCCCCTTGGATTTTTATGCCGGTGAGATAATGATAACAGATTTTTACTGCCGGCTCTTCCCTGGGAATGAGTTTCTGGAGCCAGGGATGGTGTCTTAGATTTCCCCCCAGTTTCTAACACAAGTCCTGGGACAGCAGACTCAGTGACCCCAAAAAAATAGGTTCAGGTCCAAGCTTTAACTCCAATCCATGTCAGTAGAATGTTTTCCTAGACATACCTTTTTTAAAACTCCACCTCAGATTTATGGTGTCAACTTTAAAACGCTCCTGCAAGAGGGAAAGTGAGGCAGCGGCGAGAGAGATGTTCTGAGGGGCTCAGTGTGGGCTTGAGAACCATCCTCATGTTTTCCTCCTTCTGACTGCTGCCAGATGCTCTGTTCTGATGAGAAAGCACACGTTTCTAATGATTAACACTGTGGGTGTGGGAAGGCGCTTCCTTAACAATATGAGGTTTGTATTCCTTTACACGCTCATCTACAGTATCAGCATGAATAGTTTCTCTGATGAGTAACTAGGTTTCTGAGATAAGTCCTTCTTTTTTATGGCTGATAACACAGGATTATATGAGGTGGTATTGCTGCCTAGTGAGAGGTTTTGATATACACTGGAAATTATGCTGTGCCTCCCTCCCTCTGGGCTCCCGAAATGCTACCCTGGTGGTGTGGCTGGCGTGAACACCTGGAGAATTCAGTCAAAAGTAGTAGATTACTTCTCCCCTCTTCCCCCTCAGCCCCATATCACCAATAACCCTGCTTTCCAATGAAAAAGTGCCTTCAAAATTGCCAACCTTTCTTATCTAGAGAGATAGGGAACAAGTCAGTCATCAGATGCACCTGCCCTTCTGTTCGCGGAACTGCGCGAAAACCATGTCACTGAAGTGCTGGGAAGCTACACGCTCGCCAGTTGCAAGATAACATAAAATATCACATAATCAATTATGGAAAATACTGAAATGGAATGCTGGCGTGGAAAACCTCCTCAGAGAGTGTTAAAACAAGGAATCAATTGCTCTGGAGGGTTTTAAAATTACCATCAGTCAAGAAGTGTTTACGAAGGGCCAGCTGCGCGTGCAGTGGATCGGCGGTGGTTTCCGGCACGCGTGTGTCAGGTCACGGTGGTCTCGGTTCCACAGACGCGGAGGAGCCGCCCGCTCATCTTGAGGGCTGGGCACCGGCGGCGGAGAGGCGAGGGGCAGATCCTTGGGGAAACGGGGGCGATGCAGCCCTGCGTCCCTTCGGGAGCATCTCTGGGCTGGGGGTGTCACTGGGAGCCACAGCCTCTGGTCTGGCCGTCGCTGCCGTCCCCACACCCCAGGGGCGCCAGAGGCAGGAGCCACTGCTGGACTTTGTGACGACAAGGAGATTGTCACAGAGATTCTCTGTCAGGCACAAAGGAAGAGAGGGTGACAGGAGCAGCACAAGATTTGACACCAAAAATGAAGTGCTGATGATGGCAATGGGCATTTTCGCCTATTCCTGCAACTTCTGAAGAAGCAGAGGAACCAGGAAATGTATGCAGACTTCACAAGCCTGTCCAGCTCCTTGTAAGGAACCTGCAGGCGGCCCGGGAGAGCAGAATGTGCCCTCCCTCCGGCGGTCCGCCTTCCCCCTGCCGCACCCCCCCCACCTCCATCCCTCCATCTCTCTCCCCTTCTCACTGTCTCTCTCCCATATCCACGTGCACAGCCTCAGGAATAAGGTCTGAAAATCCACCCGACTCCCTTTCTACACACAAGACAAAACTCTGTCTGGAAGTGGATTCTCAGCATCCCAGAGAAAAGAGACCAGGAAAAGTCAGTTTTCTTACCTCGCAGTGTGGACATGGCTTGATGGTGGCAAACCAGGACCACGGGTGTTTCTTAGCCGCTGCTCGGCAACCAGCACGGGCGAAGGGGAAGAGCCCGTCCCCGAGATGCCTCCGGGGAACGGGCCTCGCCGAGCCCCCACTCCTCTCCTCCCCTTCCCCACGGCCGGCGGGTCATCTCCTGGCTCTTCGATCTTCCCACGTGCAAAATGGGAGTACCACGTTTTCTTGCTGTGTGAATGCCCTTCAGTGGCCCCCTCCCGATGTCCCTGAGCACACTCGGAGGAGTGTCTGTCCCCTGCCACCTCGAGATGCTTTGCAGCAGTGACGCGTACGGTGACTGTTTCTGTGGAGGCCTCTGTGACTGCAGGGTTTTTAGGCTTCCCTGAAGAGAGTGTAAATATGTAACTAAAGCCTTACATCACAGAGGAAAACGTACACTGGAGCCATCATGGACCCATAAGTTTGAAGTAAGATGCTGATGGTATATTTGCTGAAACGAGAATATAATAAAACCCTGCAGAATAAAGTGCACTTGCTTGGAAACCCCAAGCATCTGAGAGACACGGTCCCTGGAATCTGTCCCTGGTGCTGGGTCGCAGACCACCGCTCCTGGTGCCACCTGTCGGCAGAGAACGTTGAGGGGGGTCTGTGTCTGCCTCTGTGCACAGCATGACCTGGGACGCACGTGCTCCAGGGAATTCCTGCTGCAGGGGAGGGTGAGCGTCACTGCCACTAAACCGCTAGGGACGGAGCTCCGCAAGGTGCAGCCCGCATGCCCTGTTCACTGTACACCAGGTCTGGCGCTTACACCCACCAAATGTGGCTCTCAGAAACATGTTAACTTCATGGTTGAAATTCTGGTTGGAGGTGTTTCTGACGGAGATGGTGGGGCTGCCTTTCCCTGATCGCAGAGCCTGACTGTAGCTTCAGTCTCTGCAGTCGCCTTTCCCGTCTAAGCAGAGTGAGTGTGGCCCAGCAGTCGGGGGCCTTCGGGTGGTGCTTCCTGCTCTGGGGTGTTGTTTGCATTTCACGAAGGGGATTTCCCACTGACCCTCTTGTGTCATCCTCACAAGAACTACCTCATGTACTTTTAGGTGGGAAAATAAGGTTTGGAGAATTAAGTGGCCTATCCAGGCTCTCGTGGCCAGGAAGTGTGTAATTGTCTGAAATCCCTGTTTTTGTTCCGCATCTGAAATGCCCACCACTCTCTTGATGGTGTTGGCCGTGTCCTGGACTCACAGAAATGAGGTCGGCCACAAGCCTCTCTCAGTACTGTGTATTCCTAAGAGTCACCCACTATCCAGTCCCATTGAGTGGCCGCTTAGCAATGAACCTGTTAAAAGTGAGTTCGATTGATTTGGCTTAGAAAATTCTAGCACCACTTCGTGTAACTTGGAGACAGCCTAGAGCTTGAGAGAGAGAGAAAGAATCCTGGAGGCACTAAACCGCTCTGAGACCCTGTTCTGTCCTCTGCAAATTGATTGTAATGGTACCACTTCTGCTAATTGCAAAGGCATGTTCTGTGAATCAAATCTAAAGAAATACACAAAAACTTTAAGAACTGGCCACAAGTCAGCGTCCGGCATGAGGGACAGATGTGCAGTGCATGTCTGAGCATGGCCATGGCACTCGGGTACAGGGCCTTTGGCTGGTGCATGTCACAAGGTGACAAGGGTTAAATAACCACAGCCTGGATCCACGTGCGCTCACATTGGCCGTGCGTGTGTGGGTGGTGCACGAACTGGGTACGTGTTTGTTGGTGAGGAATGGTGGCAGGATGGCGAGTGGGTGCAGCGCCCATTGTGACACCACGCCTCCCTTTGAATCCATGAGGGAGGCCCTGTTCTTGGCCCGGTTGTCACATCGGGGCACTGAAGTTAAGAGTTTGGGGAAAATGTTCAGACCGTAAAGCAGGTGCGGATCAGCAGAACACGGCTGGTGATGGTTCTGTTCCAAGTCTGTAGCGCGATCAGACTTCACTCAACACCGGGGCCAGAAGGAGCGTGTTACGCTGGTGGTCTCTGGATGGACCTCCTTGGTCTGGCGGTTTGCTCACGTCTCTGTACTGTTAACGTCAGCCCCGGTTCCGTGTATGGACCTCTGGGTACATGAGCGCAGGGCATGCGAGGCCGTTCTCCTGGGGTCTGGTGAGGAGAGCCTGAGGCGCCCGCGCCTCCCAGAAGCCTCCCTAATAGCTCTATTAGCGTTAGGTAGCCGGGCTAATGGAGTACCTGTTCCTAGCAGCTCATTGATTACAATTACTTAGCTTAAGTATTTATATGTGGCCTAAAAAGTATCCGTCCAAGTGAAAATAATGATTCTTCAGGAGCAGTGATGTACCTTCTGAGCGTCTGTCTTTGGCGACCGTAGATGGACACTTCCTTGCTGGTAGGGAGTTACCTTATGTAGAAAACTACGTAAACACACAAAAAAGTAGTCACAGTGACATTTTCTTCCTACCTCTCTTGCAGGTTGATGACCAAATGAAGCTGCTGCAGAACTGCTGGAGTGAGCTCTTGATTCTCGACCACATCTACCGACAAGTGGTCCACGGGAAGGAAGGATCCATCTTCCTGGTTACTGGGCAACAAGTGAGTGTAGAGACTAAAAAAAAAAAAAAAATGATATTTTTATTAAGCATGTTGAGAATGGCAGGAATTTAAGTAGGTCAGAAGCACTCTTGTGCTTTGAAAGGAAGAGATTGGCTGTAAGTAATTGCGGAAAGCTGACTCGGTGAGCTTCATTGCTGCTCCCATGATTACAGTTAGACTTGTAAAAGCAAACATAATCACCAGCATTCTGTGGCTTCCAGTCGGCTGGATGGAAAGTTGTGCTTTGAAGGGTCAGAACAATTGCTAGGTCAGAATTAATGATTAGTACCCAGGGCTTTTTCCACGTGTTTTTGCATTAACCCACTACGCGTGTTTGTCGGCAATGTAAAAACCTTATAAATGGTGGAATCCTTACTAGTTTGGAATTGTATTGGTGGGAAAGGCTCATTCAAAAATCGTAACATTATCTAAATATTTGGCATAAACGCAAGCACATGAGAAGGGATAGGACTTTTAGTTGAAGAGCCAGGCACCATTCAAAAGGAAGACAGAGAGGAAATTACTGTTAGTTAGTTTCTACTCCTTTCTGAGTGGATGCTATTCAGTCCACGCATACTGACTGAACATCCCACAGTGTGCCAGTCACTGTTCTGGGGCTTTGGCACGTATTGGTGAACAAAGTGGGAAAAGATTACTACTGTCACAAAATGTAACTTTGTAACAGGGAGAAGCTGGTGATAAAGAATGATCCTGTAACAAACCTATAATATATTAACAGTCTTAAGTGCTATTGAGTAAAAGAAGAAAAAAAATTAACCGTTATGTAGAAGGGCATCCACCCACACAGGTGGGTGTACATTGCACTGTGACCCGTAGATTACAGTGCTAAACAGGAACAGTAGGTTGGGCCTTACTGAGAAGGTGACACTCGAATAAAGACTTGAAGTGTAGGAGAGGCGTTGGCTTGGTAGATACCTGGGGGGAAGAGAAGGTATATCACAGACATAATTCCAACTCTACGGGATTCTGGCACGTCCCAGGTCTTAGCTTCCATTCTGTAGCTGGTGTGTTGCTAAAATAAATGTGTGGACCACAGTGATCCCCTTAGTCCATTGGGCCGTTGCTGTCCACGCATCACTGCAGGGGAGTCAGCCGTGCCTCAGTACATTGGTGCCCAGGCACCGGGATCTTTACGTCCAGCCATAAATGTTTATGTGCTGTGAAACCACAGCAGTGCATATTTGAAAATGAAAGGCTATCTCCACATCATTTGCTGTTTATTCATCATATTAATAAATCACCTTTTCCCAATCAAATTAAAGGCAAGCACTCTTTGGGGGTTTTTTGCAAAATAGATCAGTCCAGCCATGCCCGTCCCTGCCTGGTCCCTGCTCTCGGCACCTCTCGGAGGAAAGCTCTCTAGATGAGAAAATAAGTCTTAATGGGTTCGACTTCCTGTGTCTTCAGATTTTGTTCAGCATTTTCATCCAGTGATCCACGTCTTTGGAGGTGAAGTACCCATTTCCAGAGTCTGAGCTCTGGGGAGACCCCCAGCTGCCCACCCCCCAGTCCTGCCCAGCTAGGAACCAACCCATAAATTAATTTGATTTCATTTACTTTTGGGTTTCAGAAATCAAATGGGTTTGTGCCAGCCTTCCTCAGAGCACTTCATTCCTGCTCTTTGAAATACTCCTCATTTCATGTTTCATTTTGCCTTAAATTTTCATTTTGCCTGGTTAAGGTGATTACCATTTAAAAAGTAGAGAAAGTGCGTTTCTTGTCTCTCTGATTTTCAAAACCAAGAGCAGCCAAGGAACTGATGGTATGTATTGATCATCTTCAGTATCAATTATTGCTGCTTTGTGTTTTGCTGACACAACGGGAGGAGGGACGCCCGGTGCAGAACTGGTGGGTCCCCTGCGCCCCCCGCAGCCTGGGTTCTCCTAGCACCCCCGCAAAGTGAGTCACACTTCAGTCCAGCTCCCCCTACTCTTTCCCACCCGATCCAAGTGAACAGCCTAATAGTTCTTGAATGTTGTCATTCCTGGAAATTATGGGGGGATCTTTTTATTTCCCTTTGTGGAATAGGCTAGACAAAACATTTTAAACATACCTTTGGGCTTCCTGGACTTCCTTAAGATGGAAGTACAGCGCTGCAAAGGAGGCCTCTCCCAACACATGACCTTCCCGACAGAGCGAGGGAGATACTTTCATGAGGGGTCATAGACATTTTTGTGTCTGCACAACACCTACTAAGTGCTGAATATTTTGGAGCATGATAAATATTAGCTGATTGTACTGAATTGGAACTGACATGCCTTGACCAAAGTGCTTAATTAAAATAAGTTAACTTGGCCTCCAGACCCACATAGTCCTCCTCACCACATCCCAGATATCATCTATCCCCTTTTATAACTAACCTCCAACTTTCTGTTGTGGGGCTGAGATACCAGCAGTGGTTCTACAATAATCAACTGCTTTTTACTGCAGTAGACGTGCAGTTTTCCTACCCTGTGGGCCAGGGGGATAACGTGAAAATGTTAATTACAAGTTTCTTGGAACGGCAAACACTTCCCTGAATGCAAGGGTGGGGAAACCTAGATACTTGTCAACAGTTACAAACAACTGCATTATTTCTATATACTGATTTTTAAGAAGATTGTTAGAACGTGGTGAAAGGAAAGATAGAAATATATTAAGTGTAAGAGGAAAGCAATATTAAGGGAGGATGATTTTTAAAAAGATATGAAGTAGCTGAAGAAAGCAAAAAAATAGAGAACTTCCCCTTCATTGTATTTATGGTCTAATAACAT